GCCAATGTAGAAAAAACAAACGCACAACAGTACGCACAGTAAAACTCAGTATAAGAGAAGTCCGAGTCCGATGTCAGAATAGGAAACAAAAGAAAATAAACAAAATGACAATAATACATAAATAACAACAGACTACTAGCAGTTACTGACATGCCAGCTCCAGACCTCAATTAAACTGATTGAAAGATTATGTCTTCATCATATGAATATCAGGCACAATCCCTCCTGTTAGGGGTTTAGTATTATACCGTCATAAAATATATGAGAAGAACATAACCCGTGTCATGTATATATATATATAGTGTCCTAATTATTGCTTATTTTATCTGAGCAATAGACCAAACCACAAAAACTTAATGTTATCCAATGAACCATGCAAAAAGGGCAAGGTCAGATGAAAACATCCAGTTGAACATGTACATGTACACCTCACAGTGTTCCATACACCGAATATGGTTGACCTTTTAATTATAGTATCTTCGATATGGACTTGATACAAAAACTTAACCTTGATCACTGATCCCAGAAATGAGGTCTAGGTCAGGTGAACCCAGTCTGACAGACATGTAGACCTTGCAAGGATCCAATAGACCAAATATAGTTATCTGTTTGTTCATAATAAGTGAGAATTTCACATGACAAAAAACTTTTTTTCAAGCAGTCAATGAACCATGAAAATGAAGTCAAGGACAATAGACAAATGACAAAACTTCGTAACATATGCCCATGATATGGTATCTGCATAGAAGGTCTACTACCTTCTGACATACAAAGCTTAATACATATATATAGTTTACTCCGCTGCCAGATAGTAATCCCTATGTCTCGCATTCTGCTACACAACCAGCCGACTGCATGTGTTAAGGTTATGTGTGATCTGGTTGATCAGGGTTAAATTTGTGTATTATAATTGACAGGTATAAATAAATGTTGAGGCTCTGGGGATAACTTTCTAACCATCAATAAAAGCACAATTGATTAATATAAGTTGCAGGATTAATGTCTCATTGATTTCAAACATGTCGAAAGAAATTCATCTTAGTTGGAAAGAACAGTTTCGATGTATAAATGGCACACAAACTGATGATGCAAGAATAGAAGAAAAGTAACTCTTTTTAGAACAAGTTGACAAAATCAATTTTAATTCAATGCCTGTGACAATACTGATTAGAAGTTTTTTCTAATCAACAGTCGTACATTTTAAAGATAGAATTTCTTAAACTGTGTTATTAGAAATATTCATGCAAATACCTAATGTTTTGTTTAATTATTTATCAAGGTTAACTGCATTAGAAGCTTGTGAAACTGAATTTAAAAACAAAATTTGGAGCCTAATGCAGCATATTGATAAAAAAAATTGGAAAGAAGAGTGCACATGCTGAAATGTCTAGCCTGCTTTACTGATCATGATTGAATTTATGATGAAAGTCTATAACTTTACATAATCAATGATCCATGAAAATGAGGTCAAAGTCAGATGAACTATGCCAGACAGACATGCACACCTTACAATCATTCCATACACCAAATATAGCGGCACTTTTCTAATAGTACCTGAGAAAGGGACCAAAACACAAAAACTTTACATTGACCAATGAACCATCAAAATGAGGTCAAGGTCAGATGAACTCTGCCAGACAGACTTGTACACCTTACAATCATTCTATACACAAAATATAGTTTACATACTGCTTATAGTATCAGCTGATAAAATGACACAAGAGTGCACACACTGAAATGTCTCGCCTGCTTTACTGACCATTGATTTTATATATATTGGCAGTCCTAAATATAAAGTTTTACTAAAAGTATCACATAAACTTAACATGATCAAAGATAATGAGGTCAGGGTCAGATAAACCAAGCCAGAAATACATGTACACCTTACAAGCATTCTATACACCAAATATAGTTGACCTATTACTTTTAGTATAAGAAACAGACCAAACCATGAAAACTTCATATTGACCAATGAACCATGAAAATGAGTTCAATGTCAGATGAACCCTGTCAGACAGATATAGATATAGGAAGATGTGGTATGAGTGCCAATGAGACAACTCTCCATCCAAGTTACAATTTATAAAAGTAAACCATTATAGGTCAAGGTACAGCCTTCAACACGGAGCATTGGCTCACACCGAACAGCAAGCTATAACGGGTCCCAAAAAATTACTAGTGTAAAACCATTCAAACGGAAAAACCAACGGTCTAATCTATATAAAAACGAGAAACGAGAAACACGTATGAACTACACAAACAGACGACAACTACTGTAATCAGATTCCTGACTTAGGACAGGTGGAAACATTTGCAGCGGGATTAAACGTTTTAATGGTACCAAACCTTCTCCCTTTTCTGAAACAATAGTATAACATCACAACATAGAAAAACACACTATAAAATATCAATTGGAAGGCTTAACTCAAAAAACGTAAATTAACACACAATGAACGAATAAATTTGACCTGTGACACCTGAATGCAAATACACAGTTAATAAAAAATTACAAGGGATAAATAATTAAAGTCAAAAGTAAATAAACAGGTTTAAACAAAGTTAGAGTATGTTATCACTGTGAAATTTCAAACAATTTATAGAAAATCATCACTTTTGAAGAAACCTGCGTCATATTATACACAGGTAAATGAAAATAATTTTGTTGTTATGTAATAGTACTTCTTCTTCTGTGTGTATAAAATCTTCTGTTTAGGAATACTAAGAAATTTCTTTAATATCAATAAAACTAATCTAACACTTGGTACATATGGGGTGATATGTACACTTTATAATCATTCCATGGGTCAAATATAGTTGATCTATGGCTTATAGTTTAAGAAAAACAAACCAAAACACTGGGGCGCAGCTTCATACGACCGCAGAGGTCGAACCCTGAACAGTTGGGGCAAGTATGGACACAACATTCAAGCTTGATACAGCACTGAATTTGGATTGTAATTAAATATTTGACACAGCATAGGTTTCTGATACAGAATGAATGTGGTCTAAGAACTTAATTTTTTTTAATTTACCTATTCAAACCATATCATTATTATTTGCTTTTATATATAAATCAGAAATAACCAATTTAAAATGGAAAATTTTAAAGAAAAAAAAGGGAAAAAAAATCCCCCCCCCCAATTTTTTGAACTCCCTTATGATTCATCACCCCCAAACTCAATCCCAGCCTTCCCTTTGTGGTATGGTACCTTGCAGTACAATTTCAGAGAGATCAAAACACTTGAACACAAGTTATTGTCTGGAAACTAGAAAAATGCTTGTTTTTTGGCCCATTTTTGGCCCCAAATTCCTAAACGTTTAGGGCAATTACCCCCAAACTCAAACCCAGCTTTTCCTTTGTGACATGGAACCTTGTAGTACAATTTCATAAAGATCAATACAGTTACACACAAGTTATTGTCCTGAAACTAGAAAAATGCTTGTTTTTTTGCCCCTTTATGGCCCCTAATTCCTAAAATTTTGAGGCAATTACCCCCAAAATCAATCCCAGCCTTCCCTTTGTGGTATGGTACCTTGCAGTACAATTTCAGAGAGATCCATAGACTTGAACACAAGTTATTGTCTGGAAACTAGAAAATTGCTTATTTTTGGCCCCTTTTTGGTCCCTTATTCCTAAACGTTTAGGGTAATTACCCCCAAACTCAATTCCAGCTTTCCCTTTGTGATATGGAACCTTGTAGTACAATTTCATGAAGATCCATAATTTACAAGTTATTGTCATGAAACTAGAAAAATGCTTGTTTTTTGCCCCTTTTTGGCCCCTTATTCCTAAAATTTGGAGGCAATTAACCCAAAAATCAATCCCAGCATTCTGTTTGTGATATGGAACCTTGTGGTACAATGTCAGAGAGATCCATACACTTACACACAAGTTATTGTCATGAAACTAGAAAAATGCTTGTTTTTTGCCCCGTTTTTGCCCCTAATTCCTAAAATTTGGAGGCAATTACCCCCAAAATCAATCCCAGCATTCCCTTTGTGATATAGAACATTGTGGTACAATGTCAGAGAGATCCATACACTAACACACAAGTTATGTTTGGAAGTTACAAAAATGCTTATTTTTGGCCCCTTTTTGGCCCCTAATTCCTTAACTGTTGGTACCATAACCCCCAAAATCAATCCCCACCTTCCTTTTGTGGTATTGAACCTTATGGTAAAATTTGATAGAGATCCATTCACTTAAACTAAAGTTAGAGTGCAAAAACCAATGTGTCTTCGGACGACGACGACGTCGCCAACGTCATACCAATATACGACCACAAAATTTTTTTGCGGTCGTATAAACAACTAAACATTGAGCAATGAACCAAGAAAATGAGGTCAAGGTCAAATAAAACCTGCCAGACTGACATGTACATTGTAAAATTTTTCCATACGCCAAATATAGTTGACCTATTGCATACAGTATTAGAAAAACCGACCAAAACACAAAAACTTAACTGAACCATGAAAATGAGGTCAAGGTCAGATGACATCTGACAGTTGGAGATGTACACCTTACAATCATTTCATACACCAAATATTAGTAGACCTATTGCTTATAGTATCTTAGATATGGACTTGACCACGAAAACTTAACCTTGTTCACTGATCCATGAAATGAGGTCAAGGTCAAGTAAAAACTGACAGACATGAGAACCTTTCAAGGTACGCACATACCAAATATGGTTATCCTTTTACTCATACTAAGCAAGAAATTAACATTACAAATAATCTTAACTATTTTTTCAAGTAGTCACGTGCACTGAACCATGAAAATGAGGTCAAGAAGAATGGACATATAACAGACGGAAACTTCATAACATAAGGCATCTATATACAAAGTATGAAGCATCCAGGTCTTCTACCTTCTGAAATATTAAGCTACTGATTGGTTTACAATCTACCAACAGGTAATATCACAGCAGGTGTTAATTACACTCTCATAATTGTCGGATCAAGACATTCTAAGAAATAGGACTCTACTTGTACTGTACCTCATAGGTTGAAGATTTCTTTTTGCAGGACAAAGGCCCATTCGGCTTTTTTTTACTTGCTGGCATATCTAGATCTATTCCAGGCTCTCACTTAATTCACTTGGTTATTATTCAATCATCGCCTTCTTTCTCTGGTCTAAAAATTAATAAAAGTTCAATAATTCAAAACAAAACCTCGGTAATTAAGATTCAGGATTTGGATTACCGGTATACATGTTCAACTCTGCCACTTTCTTAGACCGAATTATCTGTCGTTCAAAAGCTTTTTTTTTTAAGGTAGATAGGGTGTCTTCCTCCATCTTGGATTTTGAAATACCAGAAAACAATCGGTCTAGATCTTTAATAAAAGGTGCAAATTTTGAGAGTAGTAGTTAATTCATGTGTAAGAATTTTCATTTCAATATAGGAAATGACATATTTTATCATATCTATGGTTGTATTTTACAAAAAAACAGAATACTTTTGTTTGATTCTATTTTTTCCAACTTTGCCACATAAGGGGAGGCAACTCAAATGTAAGGGCAGATAATTCAGATAAAGTTACTTTTACAACGGAATGTGTTAGGAATTTACCTATTTTATTATGTAGCAAGAAAACGGGTCCCGTGACCCCATTTTTTCTTTTTCTTATCTGAAAGCATACTATTAAAGCTATCTTCTCATATTTTATCTCAAAATTCTATGATGCAGTTTTCGTTTTATGGCAGAAAACTGGGTTTTCCATGCATAATCCATACAAAATCTGTCAATTTTGCACAACCTGTAGCGTGAAAATAAGCCCCGTGACCCATTCTTTTTATTATTTTTTTTTTTAAAAAGCATGATATAAACTACATTTTGGCAAAATATTAAAAAATTCTATGGATTATAATTTAGACACCCCATCTACCTTAAAAAAGCTTTTGAACGACGGATAATTCGGTCTACCACTTTCTTTATGTGCCTGTCCCAAAGTCAGAAGCCTATAATTCAGTGAATGTCGTTTGTTGCTGTATATCATATTTGTTTTTCGTTTATTGTTTTGTACAAACATCAGGGCGTTAGTTTTCTCATTTGAAATTGTTTTACATTTGTCATTTCAGAGCTTAAGATGCGGTATGGGTTTTGTTCATTGTTGGAGGCCATATGTTGACCTACATGTATAGTAGCTAAATTCTATGTCATTTGTTCTATTGTGGAGAGTTATCTCAATAGCAATCATACCACGTCTTCTTATTTTTATGTTATACATTACATCTGCAAATATGTCTGGTTTTTTTATCATGTGATAAGATGATATCTCTTTCTAGACATTTACCAATCTGCTATTGTACATATATGATGCTGCATCACCTGAAATACAACGCGAGAAAAAACTTCTTGCCAAAACAAATTTGAAATTTAGTCAGTAACTTTTGGGCAAGTAAAACTGTACCAGTCATGACATCTTTTTTTTAAACATTAACTAGTTTCAAAAATGTGCTCCGACTTGAGCAGCTGGATACGACCACAGAGGTCGAACTCTGAACAGTTGGGGCAAGTATGGACACAATATTCAAGCTTTATACAGCTCTGAATTTGGATAGTGATTAAATATTTGACACATTACAGATTTCTGACACACAATAAATGTGGTCAAAGAACTTAAAAATTTGAAATGGGACATTTAATCTACTTAATGGTCCAATATCCAAAGTCTAATTCCATGGTTAGATTCAGCATATAAAAAAAAACCATGAATTCAGTTTTTGATGAAATCAAACAAAGTTTAATTTTAGACCCTTTGGACCTTTATATGGACTAATTTGAAAACAGGGCCCAAAATTAAAAATTTGAATGCACAGTTAGATTTAGCATATCATAGAACCACAAGAATTCAGTTTTTGAAAGTCTAGTTTTGGACCTAAATTGGCCCTCAATGTAGACCTATTTAAAAATGGGACCCCAATATCCAATATAGTAATACACGGTAAGAACCCCCAACAATTCAAGACTTTAAATTAATCCTCATTGAAATTGGTTAAAAATTTGTATTTATTTTCAATTGAAGATTTTTTGCTGTTGTGCAATTCTTTGCTGTTGCGCAATACTTAGTAAATCTGTTAACAAACTATATATAATAATTTACACACCCTGTTTGGTGTGTATCTCCTGCCATATCAGTATTTGTTGTTTCTTTATATAGATCAGAAATAATTTATGTTAGAACCAGCTTAGCCAGCATTAGAAAAGTCTTGTTTTTGGCCCCTATTTAGCCTCTAGTTTCTCAACCTTAAAGCCATAACCCCCAAAATCGACCCCAACCTTCCGTGTGTGGTATGGAACCCCCACCCCAATGGTTTGAGCCATAACCACCAAAGTCAAACCCAACTGTCCCTTTGTGGTATGGAACCATGTGGTTTAATTTCATAGAGATCCATAGACTAATAATTAAGTAATTGTACATTAACCAGAAAAACCTTGTTTTTTTCCCCCTTTTTTTGCCCCTAATTCCTGAACAGTTTGGGCCAAAACCCCCAAAGTCAATCCAAACCTTCCCTTTGTGGTATGGAACCTTGTGGTACAATTTCAGAGAGATCCATACACTTATACACAAGTTATTGTCCAGAAACTAGAAAATGCCTTTTTTGGCCCCTTTTTGACCCCTAATTCCTAAACAGTTGGGACCATAACCCCCAAAATCAATCCCAAACTTCCTTTTGTAGTATTGCACCTTGTGATTAAATTTCATAGAGATCCATTTACTTATACTAAAGTTATTGTTCGGAAACCAAATGTCTTAGGACTACGACGACGATGACGATTACCCAAAAATTTCAGACAAGATCAAAGAAGATGTTTTTTTCAGAAAATTGACAGCCTGCAGATTAATCTTTATGTATCCAAGACTTGTTTTTCTGAAATTCAGTTGCCAGATACAAAAAATGTATGAAGTATTGAATCTATATTGGTCGCAAAACCTACAAATTTTAAAATTCAATTATAATAAAAGCATGACAAGTTGAAATAAATACTTTAAACGTCAATGTTTTAGCCGATTGATTTGGCGGACTTTTTGACGTCACGGACGACTGTAGCGCCACCTTATTAATTCCCCCTGCTATTGTTGCTGATAGAGCTTGACGACAACAGACGTTTCTATGGACTTGCTTTCCAACTGTGTGAAACCGAAAATCATCACAACAAGGAAACGTAAACAAACGATGCTAAAATGTGTTATAATCCAATTTTTTTATACATATTAGACATATAAATAAAATTCTTATTTAAATTCATCCAAACCTATTTAAATACATTATTGTAAATAGTTTAACCATGTCACTAATTCAGTTTGCTCCGTTCTTTTAGTCAATGGAATAGTGCGTTTGTTTATGGGAACGGCAAATATTTGCCTTCACCTAGAGTGCTTCGATCCAAAAGAATTGCCGTATTTGTCCTATTAGAATCGAAATAATTCATGGGGATTGAATATATCATGATTTTACCACAGGTTGTCCCTTTATGCCGATATTTTACCCCTTGCTATCGCTCAGGGTCATCCGACACAGTTTTAAAACTAAATACCCCAATGATGATTGTGGCCCAGTTTGGTTAAATTTGGTCCAGTAGTTTTAGAGAAAATTTTGTTAAAGTTAACGCATGACGACAAACGCCAAGTGATGAGAAAAGCTGACTTGGCCCTTTGGGCCAGGTGAGCTAAAAAGGACATAAAAAACGTCAGTAACACACATATTGATCCAAGACGTAATTGTGTATTTGGTTAATTTCAATGTCATATGCATGTAATAACAGGTAGTTCTCACTTAGTTTTATAGGTGATTAAAGGTGACATTTATAAAGAAAACAAAAGACTAATTAGTGGTAATTTTATTATTAACTGAAATGAGTCTTTTTCTTTTTATATCTTGTTACTGTAATTTATATTTCTTGCTTACAATATATTTATTCAGAATAAATCATTTAAGGCAGTGGCTATTTTGCCAGCAACAGCAAAATAGAAAATATGCTATTTTGCCAGCTCTAGGTAAGCAGAAGCCTATTTTGCCAGGAAAACACTATTTTGTTTACGGATATGCAATTCAGAAAACTGACTATTATTTCAAAAGCCAATCTAATTTTTAAAATTTTGATTTTGAAGCTATGTGATAGATTTTGTTAGATTGTGCAATGTTTTATCAAATTTGTCTGCAATGTGATTTGTAACTTTAATTTATATTATCTATTTAACATGCAGTTAAAAAATCAGAGATTTTATTCTTATGCATACATTGTACATGTAGCATTAGACTGTGACTGATTTTAGAATAATTTTAACTACATGTTAAATTAGATATGATTTCATTGCAACAAATGGATGCTCAATATTCTTATTTTTATTTCTTTTTACAAATTCTTATTTTCATTTTGACTGATAAATGTTTTTAAATGATTATATGCATCTCATATATTGTTACAGTTATCTTATTTAACTATATTAGTAATAAGTTGACAATGCACATTTTCGTCATGTTCGTAGTACTTTTCAAAAATAAATATTAAAATTCTCTCTTTACAAAGAACCGTCAAAATAACAGATTCACTATATTGCCTGTGCTGGTAAAATAGCCATTGCTATAGAAATATGCTATATTGCCGGGTTTCATAAAGATATTCTAATCAGAGCTGGCAAAATAGCATATTTTCTATTTTGTTCATGACGGCAAAATAGCCACTGCCATTACTTAATTACTCTAACCCATAATTAATTTAAATTCTAATATGACGTGCTTCTTTCACTTTGTAAACAACAGCATGATAAAATTGTCTATATATCTTTACTTAGCGCAGACTAAGAGATGTACATATTAATGGCTGTTACTATTTACCTCCCACGTAAATCCACATGTATCGTAACCTATGTGCAAACACTATGTGGATTTCGTTGTGTTCAAATTGAAATTGAAAAAGAAACTACAGAACCGTTATTCCTATACTAGTGCATAACAAAAACAATAAATGCATAAGATCTTAAAAAATGTATAAAATTAAAATAAAACAAAAACATTTCCGTGAAATTTCCTGAATGATCTTGGCGCATTATTGTAATGTCCAAACATGACATCATACGAATGAAAACTCTCAAGCTGAAGATATTCCGTTACGTGTATGCTCTA